ATTTGCTAGCACAGGTAATGATATTAAGATGGTTCTTATAGATTTCTATTTCCTTTGCACTATTGAATTGACAAACTGGTTATTGGTGAAACGCGCTCTCTTGGTTTATGTTTAGATATTTTTTACTGCACCTCTGATGGCGCGATGGTCAGATGGGTAGTTCAGGTTTAAGACCCTCGAATTTTGTAAATGATCGAATTTGGTTTGTGAGAATGTAATCAATCTCGTTTTTATGTCCATTCGGCAACTTCCAGTCCATTTACGGTTTGGTTGTCCATTTACGGATGGCGTGTGCGCGGCCATTTTAGACAATAAACTGTCAGTAGTGAGCGAGCAGCCCAAGTACAAAAACACCATCGTGCGAGTCAAAGCGAAATTGCTGCGGTTTGTGTAAACACGGCGTGTGCGCGGCCATCTTAGACAATAAACTGTCAGTAGTGAGCAGCAGCCCAAGTATAAACACCTTTTATAACCTATCAAGCCATCTTGCGATATTTTTACATAAATAACGCCATCTTTTCGAAATAAACAATCATCACTATCCATTCCGTTAGGAAGCGCGCGTATCGGTGACAGAGCATCGCCGCCACTAGAGGGTGTAACTTACAAAAATAAACTATAAATTAATTCCAAAATAATCATGAATGAAATTATGAAAGCTCTTAAAAAATTCAGCTGGAACTTGACGACCAGAAAAAAGAGATTCGTAACAGTGTATTAAAGGTCACAGAACAGGTCACACAAAACATCAACAGAATATTAGAGGAAAAATTCTTCTTGCTTTGAAAGAAATATGTGAAACTCAAGGAGATAGTAGACAACCAAGAGAAGAGAATCTACTTCCTAGAAAAACAGGCGAGACAAAGAAACATAGTTATTTTCGGTATCGAAGAACTGGAATCTTCATACGAAACCTTACAAAAACATATGCTCAATTGGTTAGACCTACACTTTTCAATCAAATTAACAGATGCCGATCTACAAGTAGTTAGAAGGCTAGGAAAAAGGGCGATAAACCACGACCCACTCTGATATCCTTCCTTCTCAAATCTCAGCACTAAGATAAATATATTGAAACAGAAAAAAGCACTGCGCGACACGTGCTACTATATGAAGGAAGATTACCCAAAACAGATCCTAGAAAAAGAAGACAATTACAAGAACAGCTGAAAATAGAGAGAGAAAATGGCAACATGGCTTTCCTTAAATATGACAAACTAGTCATACCTAAACAAACATCCAAAAGAAAGTTTTCTGCATCGCCATCAAAACTCACAGAAGAAATGTCGAAAGGAAGAATTACACAGACAAACAAAAAAATAAGCCACAACATCAAGAAATATCACTGAGAAGATCTAACAGCATTACCGAAGGAGTAAACAACCGAGCATGCTAAATTTCCTTACAAAAAATACAGCACAGGGACAAGAAACTACAAAAAGCAATGCGTAGCAAACAGCTGCTCCTCTCCATATAAACCCAACAAACTACTATTCAACAAACATAACATAACAATATCCTCCAACCCGTTGGTCACCGTGGAGGATTATGACCACCCCTCCAAAGAAAACTATAACACCAAGCAACAAAAGCAACAATAAAAATTGCTTACTTAAAATACTTACATTCAATGTCAAGACTCTATCAACTTACGAACGAGAATTAGAATTAGAAAATTGTTTAAGCGCTATAAACTACGATATAATGGGAATTTCAGAGGACAGACAGCAGGTCAATACGGAGTAGGTTTTCATAATAAACAAGGAGATAAAAAATAACATAGAAAGCTTTATTGGTATATCGGAGCGTTTAGCCATACTCAATATAGACATAGGAGGTCATACGATATCCATTCTTCAAGTCTACTTTCCTACGTCAGATGCAGAAGAAACGGATATCGACGAATTATATGAGTCAATTGAGGAAGCATTAAAAACGGCGCACAAACACGTCATACTTATGGGTGACTTCAACGCGAAGGTGGGCACATCAAAAAATACCAGGAATTAGTCGTGAAAGAACATGGCTTTGGCACAAGGAATAACAGGGGACAGCAACTTGTTGACTTTGCACTCATACACAAGCTAACAATAGTAAATACCTGCTTTAAGAAAAAACCAAACCGTAAATGGACCTGGGTAGTTCCATTAGCATAATATTACTTTTACACAATTATATAATTGTGTAAAAGCAAAAACGCGGTAACAGATTTAGTACCAGTTTGGGAAAGTCGGATATGACAAATCCGGTGATATAACTCCACTCGGATTCACTCCGAGGGAGTAGTTGTATCGGAGTGATAACTCCGGAGTGAGTTACCCATCTCTAGTGCACATTCACCGGTGAATGGGCACGCTGCTTTTGCACACTGCGCAATATTTTGCGACTAGCTCCGGTCAAACGTTAATAAAACGAATGATCCATCCCAGTTAGTTTAGCCGGTAGTTATAATAGCTATTAAGGATTCCCAATGGAGGTAACCTAAACTGTTTTTTTTTTTGTAATGGTGTCGCATCGTCTCGTATTCCGATACGATGAACCGTCGCCAGGCCACGCGGACCGTCGTCTGCATGTCTTTCACACTTTCAAGTACAAACGCATTAGTAATATAAGATATTTTAATTTTTGAGCTTAATTTATGTGTCTGGACCGTCTACATCCGCGTCGATAGCTTTTTATGTGTCTGCAAAATGACTTGAAATAAGTCTAAGAAATCATTCCCCTCAGTTTCATAAATTAATGTAACCCGCCTCTTACGGGCGGGGCTAATATTGTTAATGTTAATTTTTAATAATTTTTATTTAGTATAAGTTTAGAGCTCAGTATAGAAACACCAACTATCTGATGCCATTATATTCAACATATTTTTTTATAATAAACATATTAGTATCAAACGTCGCATTTTACTTAATCACCGATCACGCCAGTAGTTGAATTATATAACAAATTTAAAAGTGTATTGGTTAGGATAAGTAAATCGACAACACCCAGTTAGACGTCGAAGTAATTTTTATAGCCGTTTCTTTGTAATTTGAAAAAGAGTGTTAAACTTTTCGTCCACATTTAAGCTCATTCTACCGAATCGATTTTAAAAAATCAAAAACTGTTCGAAAGATATTAACTGGAAATGATACTGATTAGTTTTAGGTGAAAATCTATCGAACCGTTTTCTTGTAATTAACTTTTGAAAAATTAAGACAATTTTTATGAAACTTTCTTTGACGATGTATATAATGGTCTTATAGAACTTACTGAAATATTACGGCCTTACGACAAGTAGATTAATTTTAAAAAATCATCAAAGTTTGAGAAAATTTGTAGTTTTGTCGACGTTTGTTAAAATTAAAATTAGACGATTTACTTGGTATATAACGTTAGAGTAGTTGGTATGAATAAACCATTAAAGTTCTACGGAAACTGGTTCAATATAAAAATCGAAAGTTTGCTTCTAGAAAATACTCCGAGTTAACGTGTTCGTTCGTTTTCAATTATGTGTAATAAATTCACTCGTAAATTAATTTGTTTATTATAGATTAAGTCGATTATTTACAAATCGGGAAGTTCATGTAACTTGCCTCAAGGCTAAATACCAATACCAACCAGTTTATTTTGAGGTGGAGGATACTGGTCTATGCGATGTTTGAATGAAACTTTTACGATTGGCATGCCTACATATTAATTGTATGACCTATTTCTTACAAGAACTACACGTCTAGAAAAATTATTTGATTATATTGTTCTAAAAAAAACACAATTATTAGCGGTGTGCTCTATTTTTTTTACATAATTCTCAATTACGTTAATATGTGATGAAGTTAAATCTTCAGTCACTGCAAAATTGGTAGCATCATTAAAGACTTAAATCACGTTTATATTGTCACGAGTGACTTATTTTTGTAGGTAGTATTAGTTAACTTTTGTTTTAGGTACCTACAGGTGTTTTTGACATGGCTTTTATTCCATCTGGCAAAAAGCGATTATAAAGAAGCATTTCTACAATGGGGTTTCACAAGCATCACAGACAAAAATATAGAAAAGCCTCAGTGTGTTTTATGTAATAAAGTGCTTAATTCGGAGAGCATGAAACCGAACAAATTAAAAAACATTTTGCTAAAGTTCACAAGCAGTTGCAGATAAAAATATAGATTTTTTTAAGAAAAAGGAGAAGATTCTGAAGTTTTCGCGCATGGATTCTACAGGCAACATACAGAAAGCAAATGAATCGTGCCTTCAGCTTCATCACAAAATTGCTTATCGTATCGCACGTAATAAAAAAAAAACACACACTATAGGAGAGGACCTCATCAAACCTTGCATATTAGATGCGGTAACACTTGTTATAGGTGAGCAACATATAGCTAAGATTAACCAAATACTACTATCAACAATACCATTCAATTCGCATATGTGAAATGAGTGCCGATATCTACAACCGTTATTGTTGAAATAAAGGAAAGTCCTATGTTTGCACTGCAGTTGGACGAGTCCACAGATGTTGCTTCGTGTTCACAATTATTAATGTTTACACGATACATTAAAAATGATGATGTGAAGGAGGAATATTTGTTCTGCAAGTTTTTGCCCACTACTACTCGCGGCGAAGACGTATTTCAGACTCTAAAAGAGTTTATTGAGGAAAATGGCCTGGACTAGTTAAAGCTGGTTGGTATTTGTACAGACGGGGCACTTTCCATGATGGCGTCCGTTCTGGTTTTCAGTCTTTGTGAAACAAGTGCTCCTCAAGTTTTCAACTATCATTGTTTGATACACCGTTACGCTTTGGCTGTAAAAACACTACCACCAGTTATTATTTAAAGTTTTGTGTGATGAAGTTGGTGCTGCATTTAATGCACTTTTGTACCATACAGAGGTACGTTGGTTATCAAGAGGCAAAGTTCTAAGTAGGGTCTATGAATTACGAGAAGAAATTGAAAAACCAGAGAACTCAAAAAGAAAAAGAATATTATGACAAAATTAAAGACCATATATTTGTTCTAAAAATGGCGTACCTTGCTGATTTTTTCACTGAAATTAATAATCTGAATATTTCACTGCAAGGAAATAAAACAAATATTTTGATGCTGCAGGATAAAATTGCAAGTTTTTTACGCAAATTGGAATTTTACCAACGCAGAGTTCAAGCTGGTGATGTGTCAATGTTTACACAACTAAGTGAACAATTACTAAATAATAAACGAGACAAAATCACATTTGAAAATTATGTGGTTCAACACTTAACTGCCGTGATAGACTCACTGCAGCAATATTTTCCCGACATGGATATTCGTGAGTGCTACTCCTGGATTTTAAGACCATTTTCTACTTGCGTCGATATATTCAAGGACGAAGATATGTCAGCATGTGTCTCGGGCTGCGTGAAAATAACTTATTGAAAGTTGATTTTCAAAATGATAAACTCAGCACATTTTGGCGAAAAGCAGCTGCAGAATATCCCATCATAGCTGACAGAGCTTTAAAGATCTTGATTCCATTTGCTACAACTTACAGATATGAAACTGGTTTCTCAACTCTTCTTACATTAAAAACAAAAGCCAGAAATCGTATGAACATTGAGCATGATATGAGATGCTCGTTGAGTGAAACTGAACCTAATATTGTGAAACTTGTGAATGCAAAGCAATTTCAACCTTCGCACTAGTACTCTAAGATTTACATATAACTTTATATTACTAGTTACCTAAACATGCAATTTCTTAGAATTAGTTAGAGTTAGATAATAAACATATTTCATCGATTTTGTGTGGTTTTATTTATTTTAAATTGGCTAGGGGTAAACTCCACTCTCATACTTGTTTAGGGGTAGTGACACTGAAAAGGTTGGGAACCACTGATTTAAGTCATTGAATCTATATGATTTAATTAAATTGTTAATGGAATTTTGATACGATCGACAAAACTTCTAAGAGCCGTCTCCATATATACAATTCGTAATCTTTCCGATATTTCTTGCCCTTGAGAATCGCAGTCTTTTTTAAACATTTTATCAACTATATCTAAAATTCTATCGCCAAAAGATTTAACAGATTCATTTGAAAATTGTTTAAGATAGTTTGGAATATAAAGTGGAAACAGAAGTTTGGTCATAATATTCTTTACATAAATGTGTTTTTAATACTGAATAATTTGCAATTTTATTACGAATAACTTTAACTAATACTTTACTTGGTAACTTTCTTTTTACCATTAAAAATAATTTATGTGCTTCCTCCGGTAACAAATTTACATGTAACGAGTCACATGCATCAATAAATGCACGGACATTGGTTTCATTTTCATCAAAATTCGGAATAATAGCTAGAGCTAGATTTAAATCTTATTTATTTTCATTACTATTACCGATTGTATTCTTCATCTTGTGATTGAATGGTCCCTTGCCCTTGCTTAGGTATAGATTGAAATGATATTATGGTTGTTGGTAGTATGGTTCGGGTATGGGTTGGAGGTCCTTTTGTTGTAAGATCCACGGCCCTGGATATTGGTTACTGTAGTAGCTTCTTTATGCGATATGGTAATAATGTCCGTCCAACCTTTCCTGATGCCTTGGGTCGAGCAGTAGGAATAATATTTGATCGACTGGTTTGGTGAGAGTTCTCTTCAGATTAATGGGTCCTTTCAATAAGGTATTCGCTGGAAGAGACAAACTTCTGGTTCCAATAAAAATCCACTTATAATGTTTTACACTGTATTTATTGCTTTACTTCACAGACATAATCTCCACTTAGATTATTTAAGACTACTCTAAGACATTATGGCTAGACTTTTGGCTAAGACATCACTGGTTAATACAAATAATTCTGACTCTATATATTATGCATTGTACGTGTCAATTCTAGGAATGGCGTCTTCCGCGTTCATGTAAAGATCTTGTACTTTGATCAACATTGAACAATGAATTCATATTTTTATTAAAAGCACGTATGATTACAGAACACGCCACCCCTAAAGAATATTGTTAGTCCTCTAACAATTGAAAAGAAAAAAAAAACAAAGAAATTACAATTTATTTGGGATTCCTCCCCTCTAAAACAATTTATCGTCCTCGATAAATGAAAAATAGTAATCTATGGTACAATTGATTATAGCAAAAGAGAGAAAAATTTGAAAATTTGCAAAATATGAAAAAGTAAAAGTATAAAATTTTGTAGTATGTCTGCAATATAGTAATTAGATAACAATTCTGATGATAATATGAATAAAAAAAAATTAACATAAAAAAAAATCTAATATTGTTGTAATACTTTGCTGCATATTGTGATTTTTAATAGTTCATTAAAATTATTTTGATTTAGTTTCAACAGCTTGTTTAATTTCAAAAGTAGGATTTTGATAATACAGCAAAATATTATAAACAATAATTAGTTACATTGTTCGGATATTCTTATTGGATACAGTATGCAACCTAATGCCATATGAATTCGCATAGTTGCATAACTTGTGTGACTGCTTTAAAATGATTAGTAGACAAAAACGAAGTTGTGACCTAATTGATTTATATACATCAATAAAACTTCTAAAAATTTAAAAATTAATTATTTGATCCATTATCACTATCATTAATTAGTTTCAATAAAATAATAAAAACAATTTTTCTATTTGCATAAGAATATTAACAAGGTGCAAGATCTCTCTTTCTTTTCACAAATTTAATATTATAATAAATTGTTTAATTTTTTTATTTATTTGATTCGAATTTAAAATATGATCAAAATACTCTGTCAGATTCAGTTCAATATTTTTAATAGGATGTTAAAAATGCGCGCGCGATTATTTCTAACTGAAGCTGTATGAGAATCTTGTATCAATCTTCGAAGATTTTAAAAAAAAATAGATTGCACACTTGTTGCCATTCTTATGCATTACATCTAGATAGAAATGGAAGATAGTGATAATTCGTCTTGTAATCTAATAATTGTGTTTCACATACTTTTACATTAATACATTTCTGGGCCCTCTTAATTTATTTTCAAATTCTATTCTGAACATTCTATTTGTTTTATAAAAATATGCAATACAAAAATATTAATTTAAAATTATTATATTTAGAATGTCAGTATTAATAAAAAATGAGTGGCCTTTCAATTTCGGAATCTTTGCTACAAATTATTATTTTTATTTTTTGTATTTTAATTCCATGTGAATTATTGATACTATGCATTAAAATTACTTTTTTATAAGTGAATAAATAATTAAGGTGATAGAAATTAATTTCAAAGAAATTTATTGGTTTTATTTTATCTACTTTGAACGCTCGAAATTCATAGTTATTTATAAAAATAAAAATACAACTACGAAAGTATTAATATGTCAAATGAAATAAATAGATTACGATAAAATTATTCAAAAATCAAAATTAAAATATTAAATTAATGAAATTTCAATAGAATAAAAATATGACGCCAATTAATACTTCACAAAATTTTTGAATAATAATAAAATAAAGTTTTGTAAAATACATCAAGATTCATAACATTAACGAAGTTAATACATCATAAGCAAATTTGTATTGCGTGCCTTGTTAAGGTTTGAATCCGAATGTTACGTGATATTTCTTTACTCAAATTTCAAAATAGAAATATGATAAAGCTTGTTATGTTATTAACGCAAATAATCGAAATTAGTGTGAACAATTATAAAAATTTCAATTAGGAAAAATATTATTATTTTCAATTTACGCAAATAATAGAAAACAAATTTACTCAATCGCTTATTAATTTTCAAAATAAAATTTATTATATTTGTAGAGAAAATTTAGGAAATATTGCACGCTCAATATAACGCCAATTGGATTGAAAAATGAAATCATTTTGTATCAATAATTCAAACATGGACTTTTTCTATTTTCCTATTTTTTTTCAATTTATAATTTTGTTCTATGGGGATAGTTACATTTCTATTATTGACATTAATTTAAATTTATCCCCTTCATTTCTGTAACATTTTGTATTGTGATATGGGCAGTTGATTAAATTTAATTATTATTGAAATTTGCATTTTCAAGTTCAATTATTTTCACACAAAACTTCAAAGTTCATTTTATATTATATTCAAGATTAAAATTTTTATTCTTATGTAATATTTTAAAATTATTTATATACTCAACATTAATAGTTGGAATTTATTCTCATTTAATATTTAATAAAATCGATAAAATCAACGAGCGTGTTTTGGTCCTAAAATGAAAATAACGAAATAAATTTATTTGAAAGATTTTATTGACTCGTTCCCGCGGATTCATGAGTCTTATAAGTCATCAAAATTACGTCAAATATATTTAAGATCTCGCGGTTTTCACTAACCTTACGAGTCTCCATTCGGGTTTTTCCTACCCTGATTAATTATTTATTTGTCAGATACCTATTGTTTCTTTTGAACAATTTAATATTAGGCTATCTGATATGAAGGATTGGCACTATCGCCTGAAAAGTGGCACAATGGCTACACTAAATCCTTTAGGCATTTCGCCTTTATACTGGCATTTAAAGCCACATTAAAAATCGCGACGTAATGAAAAGATCAACAGATGTAAATTTACTCTTGATAGGATACTCAAAGTCATTAACTAGAGTCACTAACTTTTCAATATTACTTTCTGAGTCTTTTATATTATTACTTGATGACTTTGTTATTAATCTTTACAATTATTTTACTTTGAAATATTTCTGTTATGAAATTCGGACCTGGCAATGCTCGTAATTGTTTTTGTTAAAAATATGCTTAGCTTACAATATTTGCTTGAACTTAACCTTGACGTGTGATATGTGAAGTCAACAAAATAATAGTGGTGTGAACAATAATCGAACTGCCCGTTGTTACAAAAATGTTACCCAAGTACAACCAAAATCCTAATACTTAAAAAAAAATCAAATTGACAAAATATTATTATTTATATTCTAATTGACAAATAAAATTTTAAAAAAAATTGACGACTATGATGTTCTGGTCTGGATATGTTGAAGGATTGGTTTTTCTTACTTGGGGAGTGAGCCTTAGTCAAGAAGTCTGCGTCGATCTGCCTGCGTAGTTTATCTCGGTAATGCTGCCACCTTTGGTGCCTTTAGTTCCTCGTGCTAGTCCTGGTCTTGCTGCTTGCTGGATACTCTGCTTACTTTAATGACCCTGCCGCCTCTGGGTGCGAAGAAAACTGGATCCAGATTTCACCAAGCACAATTCACAAAACTAACACTTCACTACAAGGAAATCCACCGCTTGACACCATGAAATGATATAATGGTTGTTGGTAGTATGGTTCGGGTATGGGTTGGAGGTCCTTTTGTTGTAAGATCCACAGTCCTGGATATTGGTTACTGTAGTAGCTTCTTATGCGATATGGTAATAATGTCCGTCCAACCTTTCCTGATGCCTTGGGTCGAGCAGTAGGAATAATATTTGATCGACTGGTTTGATGCGAGTTCTCTTCAGATTAATGGGTCCTTTCAATAAGGTATTCGCTGGAAGAGACAAACTTCTGGTTCCAATAAAAATCCACTTATAATGTTTTACACTGTATTTATTGCTTTACTTCACAGACATAATCTCCACTTAGATTATTTAAGACTACTCTAAGACATTATGGCCAGACTTTTGGCTAAGACATCACTGGTTAATACAAATAATTCTGACTCTATATATTATGCATTGTACGTGTCAATTCTAGGAATGGCGTCTTCCGCGTTCATGTAAAGATCTTGTACTTTGATCAACATTGAACAATGAATTCATATTTTTATTAAAAGCACGTATGATTACAGAACAAGATCTATGGCGTCTCCCTACACCTAGCGGCGAGAGTAACAACCAGAAACGCCAATACCAACTTCATAGACACGTTGCGTGTGAAGAACGTCGCAAACTGTCAAGTTGGCGACGGCGCATCGTGCAACACTTGCGTGGGCTCGCAAGTGCAATCTCACCCTCTTGTGCATCAACCCTTGGAAGTGTGAAGATATAAACCTAACCTAAATACATTTTATATCAGTGAGATGCTTTATACTTGTTTTGTTATTATAAATTAAACTTATATACACGTTATTCAGTTCTTTTAATTATAAATATAAATTATATATAGACCCAACATCTATATAATTGGTGACCGCGACTGAGAAAACACGTGGCTGAATTCTGATCTTGATACTACAAGCGAGGTATACTATATCATTAATAATGTCTTCACCCGCAAACACTGAAGCCTCACAAGATCTAAATCGATCGCTCATCGATTTTGACGAAACTCAAGTTCGCACGCCATGTGCGAGCAACTCCAACCAAGTGAACAATGATTTAAAAACGGAACAAATTTACAACGTGGGCAGGCATACAATAACCCCGTTCATGGAAGATGCTCCTGATCTATGGTTCCTGTTGATTGAGACAGAGTTTCTTGGAGATAGGATCAAATCCGACCATGCGAAGTACACGGCGGTATTGCGTGCTCTGGACAGGTCCACTTTACACCTGGTAAGCGATGTGTTGCGAAATCCGCCAACCGAAAATAAATACAACACGTTGAAGAGCATAATCCTAGACCGAGTATCCGAGTCGAGGTCAAAGCAAGTAGACAAATTGTTAACAAACGTTGTCCTAGGTGACAAAAAGCCATCCCAGCTACTACGGGAAATGATTGACCTGGCTCGGAGTGAAATCTCGGAGGATATCATCCATAAACTTTGGTTGGACAGACTCCCACAACACATCCGGCCTCTACTGCTTGTATCGAAAAACATTGGGCTACAAGCCATTGGCGAGATGGCAGACAGGCTTGTAGATACTTGTGGACTGCCATCATCGGTGATGGCCACAGCGAGCAGAGCACCTGAACCAAGAAGTGACCGCACCCAAGAAATTCTGCTTGCCATGATGCAGAAACTAAATGCCTTGACGACAGAAGTGGAGAATTTAAAACATAGCAGAGAACATGACGAGAGAAGCAGGACCAGAAGTCACTCCAGGCACAGGAGAGGGAGATCAAAGACGCCGTCCAAATCACAGCTATGCTTTTACCATAGCAGGTTTGGAGAGAAGGCTACCAAATGCATAGAACCCTGTTTGGTTAAGACTCTCCTGAAGCCGGAAAACTAAAGTCACCATCAACACCAGGAGCAAGTAATGATGGTGATATTAATTCTGTCTGTCCAGAGCTCCGACTATGTGTGACAGACAGAAAAACACGGATAAATTTTCTTATAGACTCTGGCTCCGTTCTCTCGATTCTTCCAGCTAGCAAGTTTGCAACCGGTCGTGCCAAGGAAGAGATTGTTCTGTATGCAGCCAATTCCAGCCGAATATCCACCTATGGAAAGCGGACTCTCGAGCTGGACCTTTCGCTGCGCAGACCCTTCACTTGGCAATTCACAGTAGCAGATGTGGCAACAGCCATAATCGGTGCAGACTTGCTAAGCTACTACAATCTACTAATAGACCTGAAAGGCAAAAGACTAATTGATTCAACGACAGGCTTAGCCTCTGATGGCAAAGTGCTGAAGACCCAGAACATTAACATTTCCACAATTAACCCACACCAACCTTTCAGGAGCTTACTAAACAAATATATAACAATCACTAGAACGCCACAGAGACTAACAATTAAACCATCTCTTTTCGCACACAGGATTCCCACAACAGGTCCACCAGTCGCTGCCCGGTTCAGGAAGATTTTTGGCGTGAAAGCATCAGCTGCAAAAGCCGAGATACAAAATCTCCTGAACAGGGGCATTTTGAGACCTTCAAGCAGTCCGTGGGCAAGTCCAATACATATGGTATCAAAAAAGGATGGATCTTATAGACTCTGTGGTGACTATAGAAAACTTAATTCAAGCACGCAACCAGACAAATATCCTCCTCCACTAATCAGTGATGTTTTTACAAACCTGCACAATAAAACAATTTTTTCAACAATAGATCTTGCAAAAGCGTATCATCAGGTGCCGATGCATGAAGAGGACATACAGAAGACTGCCATCATAACTCCATGGGGATTATATGAGTACCTCTGCATGCCTTTTGGACTGAAGAATGCCACTCAGACATTCCAGCGCTACATAAACCACATATTCCAAGACATTGACTTTGTGTTTATATATGTGGATGATATTCTGGTTATGTCTGAGAACATGGAGCAACACCATCGCCACCTGCAGATAGTTTTTGAGCGTTTGCAAGAACATTCTCTAACCATCAACACCAACAAATGCGTCCTAGGCAAGTCCCAAGTAGATTTTCTGGGTTACAAGCTCAGTGAGAAAGGCTATTCTCCAGCTACAGACCGGGTGGACAAGATTTTGAACTTCCCACAGCCAACAACAGTTCTGGAACTGCGTAGGTTTCTGGGAATGCTGAATTATTACAGGAAATCAGTCCCAAAAGCAGCCAAACTGCAAGCACCGCTGAACAGTTACCTACGTAGTTCAGTCAAGAAGGATAAAACCCCTATCACTTGGAACCCAGAATCTCTGCAAGCCTTTGAGGACGTAAAGAATGCTCTTGCAAACGCCGCTTTACTTCATTATCCAGCTGCTGCAACAAATATATGTTTGGTAACAGATGCGTCAACAACAGCCATTGGAGCCACTCTGGAGCAGGAAGAAAATGGTGCATGGCACCCTATAGGTTTCTACTCCAGAAAGCTCACATCCACGGAACAGAGGTATTCAACATATGATCGCGAGCTTTAGGCATCTTTGCGGCCATAAAATTTTGAATACCTGCTGGAAGGTAGGCATTTCATTATCAAGACAGACCACAAACCCATCACATATGCATTTCAGCAGAGACCTGAAAAGGCGTCAGACAGGCAGCGCCGGCAATTGGAATACATATCCCAGTTCTCTACTGAAATTGTGTATGTGAAAGGTGAAGAAAATGTAGTGGCAGATACATTATCAAGAATTAACACTATTGAAATGCCTACCAGACTGTCAGCTGAACAAATATGTATAGAGCAAAGCTTGGATCCAGAAATGCAGGAGCTGCTTGGTGGAGAAACTTCTCTCAAACTACACAAATTAACATTGGATGGTTTTCCGATCTATTGTATAATTGAGTCAAACTTTGTTAAACCTTATCTCCCACAGAGCCTCCGCAAAACTGCATTCGACGTAGTCCATGGTATTTCTCATCCAAGCATCAGGACTACATCCAGGGAAGTACGCAGCCGGTATGTTTGGCCTGGAATTGGAAAGGATGTTGCTACTTGGACTCGTCAATGCATATCCTGTCAAAAGTCCAAAATCCATAAACATAATCATTTCAATCCTTTGCACATCCCTATTCCTGATGAAAGATTCTCTCATATTCATATTGACATAATTTCCTTACCCAATACTAATGGTTTTCCTTACTGCTTAACAATTATTGACAGATTTACAAGATGGCCGGAAGCCATCCACTGAGAGACATCACAGCTGAGACAGTCACGCAAGCATTGTTTACGTGCTGGATTTCCAGATTTGGTACACCAACTACAATAACATCAGACCAAGGCACGCAGTTTGAGTCATCTCTCTTCAAGTCCTTGGCACAGGCAGTTGGTGCAAAGAAAAGCACGTACGACAGCATACCACCCTCAAGCAAATGGATTTAGTAGAACGTTGGCACAGAACCCTAAAAGCTGCACTGATGTGTTCTTCTGAACCGTGGATCAAGACACTACCCTACGTACTACTTGGTCTACGGAATTCATTCAAGGAAGACATCAAGACATCAGCAGCAGAGATGGTTTACGGAACCACACTGAGACTTCCAGGTGATTTTTTCAATACATCTAATAACTCACAGAATCCACAGGTCTTTCTAGAGAATCATCGCCGAATCATGTGTGCATTGAAACCAACTCCAACAGCCCACCACAACAAATCCAAGATTTTCATTTTGAAAGATATGGGCACATGCACACATGTATTCCTCAGAGCAGATCATGTACGAAAGCCCTTGGAACCACCTTACAGAGGACCCTATGAAATACTTGAGCGAGTTTCTGATAGGATTTACAAACTTCGCGTTAATGGGGCCGCAAAGAACTTCGCTGTTGAAAGGCTAAAACCAGCATATATAAATAAAACAGATGCAGATTACGAATCACTTTCTCAACCACTTCATACACATCCCTGGGAGTCATCAAAGGAACCTACAAAGAAAACAGCCAAAAAGAAAGTTGCGTTCAATATTTGACAACACACATTTAACCTTATTTCTATTCTGACAGATAGCTAACTTTCATCTTGGGGGGAGTGATATGGCGTCTCCCTACACCTAGCGGCGAGAGTAACAACCAGAAACGCCAATACCAACTTCATAGACACGTTGCGTGTGAAGAACGTCGCAAACTGTCAAGTTGGCGACGGCGCATCGTGCAACACTTGCGTGGGCTCGAGGGATGCGAAAAATGCAATCTCACCCTCTTGTGCATCAACCCTTGGAAGAGTGAAGATATAACCTAACCTAAATACTTTTATATCAGTGAGATGCTTTATACTTGTTTTGTTATTATAAATTAAACTTATATACACGTTATTCAGTTCTTTTAATTATAAATATAAATTATATATAGACCCAACATCTATAGATCCTTGTCCAG